TTATATATATATATATATATATACATATATATATATATATATGTCGGTTTATTGTCATTAAGCTGAAAACCGCCCTAAAAACAAGAAGCCTATTTTCCATTTTTTTCTTCTGTTGGTTTTCCGCCTCTTTCTAGTTTCTTCTCCGGTGAGCCAAAGCAAAAAAGCACAAATACTTGAATTCTCAGAAATTCTCGCGAGAGAGAGAGATAGAGAGAGAGAGGGGGGAGAGAGAGAGATAGCAAAGACAAATTTCTTCTTATCTTCCACTTTCACTTCGATTTGAGATGGAAAGCGGTGAAGAACTAACCGACATACGGTCGGCGGCTGATGCGCTCTCCGCCGAGGAACCCTCAGAGTCGCCACTTCACGAAATCGAGAGCCTTTGCATGCGGTGCGAGCAGAATGTAAGCTTTCAATTCTATAATTTCGTCGCCCTATTTGCCTTATTTTTATTTTTATTTTTATTTATCTTTTTTTGCGCCTGAAAGTCTTCTTTCTCCTTTGTTCGAAAAAGGTCTCATTTTTTATGCTTTACGTTGTTGCAGGGCATTACCAGGATTCTCTTGACTCGGATTCCTCATTTCAGAGAGGTTGCTTTTCTCCTTCCATCGGCACAGTTGTTTTTGAATGGAATACATAGCACATGATTCTTATGTATTTACGTATCTCACGCCTGAATTTTCATATTTACACACATAGCTCTCAAATCGTTAGCATTACATCAAAATAGTACTATTACCGTTTTTAAAAGGTAAAATACACGTTTTTGATGCATAATTTTAAAGTACCAAGTGCTATGTATGTAAATACATAAGAATTGCATGCTACGCATGTAAATTTTCTTTATGTTTATTGTCTTTTTTTTTAATCTTTCGCAGTTAGTGTTGATGGCATTTGAGTGTCCCCATTGTTATGAAAGGTATTAATCCAACACTTTCCTGCTATTGCGACCAAAAATTCACTTTCTTTGAAAGTTTAGTATAATTTCAAGCTAAATTATCTGAAAATTGGGATTTCTTACTTCTAGGAACAATGAGGTCCAGTTTGCTGGCCAGCTTCAACCACGTGGTTGCTACTACCAATTGAAGGTTCCTTCTGGTGATCAACAGGTTTGTGTGTGCCTGTAGCATTTATATAATCAAGTTGTCTTTTTTTACTTTCTTTTCTTATTATATTATTTTTTTTGAATCCTTATATATTTTCAGTTCTTAGGGACATTTACTTACATACCACTCGATTCTTCTGTATTTCAATATCTAACACCTAAAATTTCATACTTGCACAACATTCTAGTCTTTTATACCAAATATAAAACACCACAGCTATTAACTGTTCAAAAGTGAAGTACGCTTTTTCATGCATTGTTTCATGACACCAAGATGTAAATGTAAGTATCAAGCTTTAGGTATTAGATATGCCCATACAAAGAAATTGTTTGTAATGTATGTAATTTTCCTTATTATTATAAGCTTCTTCTCCCATTGATTAGTCAACTTAATCATAAATTTTTGTTATATGAGACTGACTTTTCATATATTTTCATTCAGATGCTTAATCGCCAGGTTGTGAAATCTGATTCTGCTACCATTAAGGTATGATATGCCTCTAAACCACCAACTTCTTCAGTATCCCTCTCAAGCAAAAATGTGCCTTTTTGAAAGTGGTTTTGCAATTCAAAAGTTGTTTTCCATGGCCTTGAGTGAGTTAAAGTGTGGCGTTGAATTACTTTGCAATCCAATTTTTAATCATAGATTAGATAATTCTAAAAGCTTTTTGATTTTAATTCATACGTTGGCAGTTTTCAATTGGGAATAAGCAAGGAGGAAAAGGAGAGAAATGCACAAGTGATGTTTTGGAAGGGCATAATTATTTTTTTGGCTTGGAGTTACTACCACATGATATCAGTTTATTTCAATTATATTATTATTATTTTTAATGAGTCAAAGGTTTAAAAGTGATATATTACATCATCAACATGTTGATTGTTTTTATTTATTTATTTATTTTTTGTTAGGTTAATTTCATACTCGAAGCCCATGAAGATTTAGCTTTCAAAATTTTCTTTATTTTTTGGATTTTTCTTCAATGGGATTTTCTTGTGAACTTGTTGACCCTTCCATGAACTCCAATGTTGTTCTTAGAAGTCTAAGAACCATTTTTTCTCTTACATTTATATTGCAAACTTAGTTTAATCCGGTGTAAAGAGGATACATGTGCTTGAAGCTTGAGGCATGCTAAAATTTTCGAAGGAGCTATTTGATGCCACCTTTAAGGATAGATTTAAGCAAGATTTAACCAACAAATTTTAAACATAAAATTGGAGACCTTATAATTTGAGGGAAATTCTATAGCGAGGATACCCTCTATGTTAAATTGGCGATAATTTTGTCCATCATAGGCGATATAGCTCGAATTATTTGTCTTTAAACTTATCAGTGGAGTAAGAATTTGAGATTTGAAGATGAGTTATTTGGCCCAATCATATAGTTTTTAAACTATTAGGAAGTCTTCTTTGGTTTGTATTGTTGTGGCATGTTGATCTGGGGAGATTTGGGAGTTTAGGTCCGCTAAACTTTGCTTTGTTCGGCGGGGGTCTCCCTTGCATGATCATTTTTTTTATTTTTTGTTGGCAAGGAGATTGTCAACAAGTTTGAAACCTAGGCCATTGCTATCCTACTCAGATTTAGATTGGTGAATTCAATTCATTCTTTCACCTTTTCAACTCAACTTGTAAGGCTTTGTGAGCTTTAGAATTCTTCATTGGTGAATTGCACAATCTTTTAGGCTTTTTGACTGGTTAAAGAGGTTGACTCGAAAGTGCTCGGAGTTTTTCTCCCATTTTCAGATGGATTTTGATATTTGCACTATCACTTGACGTTTTATTTGGACATCAAATCTATCACTTGTATGCAGAGGATCAAACTTTTGAGAGTTACAAAGTCAGCCCTGTTGGTTTTTTTCCTATAAAATATAAAATGATACATTTTCATTAATTTTTGTTCTCAATTTAAGATTTCTCTTAATATCATGACATTTGTTTAAGTTTTTGGTTAAATCTTTTAATCAATTGAATCTTGAATACTGTTACTGATAACTGAACAAATTATTAGGATTTAACTACTGGCACACCAAATTGTTTTGTTTGATTTAAACTTCTCTAGATACATATTTATGGGATTAAGATTCTACTTGAATTAAAATCTACTTGTCTCCAACTCCCAGTATTGCTAATTATTTGGGAAATTTACATACTTTGCACACAATTCTTATGTATTTACATATCTCACACCTAAAGTTTCATATTTACATACATAGCACTTTGGTGCTTTAAACGTATGCATGAAATATGAATTTCACTTCTAAATGGTTGTAATAGTGCTATTTTTAATGTGATATTAAAGATTTTAGGGCTATGTGCGTAAATTTGAAAATTTAGGTGTGAAACATATAAATATCATAAGAATTATATGCTATGTATGTAAATGCCCCTAAATTTTTCTTCCAGCAATGAAAAGGCTTAATCAATATGAAGCATCATGTGCTAAATGCTTTACAACTAGCATGTGAAGTATTCAGAAAGGAGCATTTTAATATACAATTGCGGTTTGATTTGAAGATAAGATTGACGATTGCTTGAAAATTGTTTAAGTTTTTTTGGCTCAGATCAAGCTTGCACGAAATTATCGAGCCAACTAGTGTGCCTGGATCAAGCTCATGTCGAGTCACGTTTGAATCAAATTGAGCCAATTTAAGATTGGATCAAAATGTGAATATGTGCATATACATGAGTGTATTTTAATTGTAATTTTTTTTCACAATGCATATATTCATCAGTATATATGTACTTGTATTCTTTTGGGTGCTTACCTGAAGTTGGGCTAAGATTTTATCCTAAAAGAAAAAAAAAGATTAAAATGAAATTGATTTTTGGCTCAAATCAAGCTTAAATAGAAATAAGTGAGTTGGCTATCGATCAGAATGAAATCAAATCAAGCTAGGCCTTGCTGAAAAAAAATTATTGGGGATGGCCTCGAGCCAATCTATAGTAGAGGCTAGATCGGCTTGATATCGGATCATTAATAGCCTTATTTCAGTCTAAGACTAATATTGTTGTATAATGATGTTGCATACAACGATATGCGAGATAAAAAAGTTATCGAATACTTAATAAGTACGAATTGATGGAACATGTTGTATGTTCAAGCATTAATCCAAAGTATATTAAAGTTTTTTTTTTATGTATTTTCTGTTGTGTTTTGGTTAGATACTAAAGTTCATACTAAAGTTCATGTTTAGAATGAAATATTTAACCATGTTTCTTATTATTATTTTTCATATGCAGATTCCGGAGTTAGATTTTGAGATTCCACCAGAAGCTCAGCGAGGCACGCTTTCTACGGTGGGTCTATTTTTCTTTGATAAATATGTTTTGTTACTCAAACTCTTTTTTACATTGCTAAATAAAGGCGCGGTGTTCTTCTCTTCCAACCAAAAACCCAAAAATGTGTTATGGTAATCAAGTACGTTCATGAATATAATTTAGAGTGAAGTAAAAAAAGAAGCTATTAGATATCAGACACATATATTGTAATCTTTTGTGATAATGATGAATATACTAACTCGTGATATTTTGTAAACACATTGGTATTTCTGTTCATTTTGTTTTGGCCTTAGTGGAAGATGTTGGGAGGACATTAGACTACTAAAAATATTTGGATGCAATTTGGAAGATTAATCAAAATGCGTTAATTAAACGACAATGATCGGATCACTTAAATCTCTATGAACTAATTATCTCAGTTAAAATAAGCTGATTTCTCATGTTGCGCTAATGTAAAAATTACAGAGTATTATAATTTATGATGGTAGGAGACTTGGGTACTTCAAAAAGGAAATCATATGGTTTTTTGATAGAAAATCAAGCTAATAAGTTTGTTATGTTGGAATATTGTAAAGGAATGGTTTCTATTTCCTATAAACTTGTCAGAGAAAATAGAAATTAAGTATGTGTGGGACTAAGATGCCCTCAATCAAGGGGAAGGTAAAAGAGTTATTGGCTATAGCAATGCTTACATATATCACTACAAGCTCAAGTTAAATTGATTTTGAAGGATTTTGTCTGAAAACTATATAGAAAAAAGTAATTAGAATGTAATACTCATTCTTGAAGGTACATTTAAACTAAGTTTTATTTCTCTTATTGCCAATTTTATGCGGCATTTACTTTTGGGCACAATACAAATTTTTTTGCAGACTGAGACTTATACTGCTTTTAGTTGTATTGTCTTTTAAATTTGCAAATTTAGTTTATTCTAGGTGGAAGGAATACTTAAGCGGGCTGCTAATGAATTGGAGGCCCTTCAAGAAGAACGCAGGGTAAGTTTTGGAGTTTTTTATGTGGGGGTTTTGCAGTGTCCAAAATAGCATGGTCTGCTACTATTAAAAAATTGCATTTTTTTTTTCTTTATTGCAGAAAGTGGATCCGGAAACCGCCGAAGCCATAGATAAATTCTTGATCAATCTAAGGTCCTTTGCTGAAGGAAGTGCTTCCTTTTCTTTCATACTCGATGATCCTGCTGGAAATAGCTTCATTGAGAACTCGTAGGATTTTCTTGCCGATGCCAATATCAATATAGTAGTATTCTTTTTATCATCTTTGCTTTAATATCTACTATAGTTACCATCAACATTTAATCTTTGAGGCATTTACATGCATAGCACACAATTCTTATGTATTTGCATATATCAAGCCTAAATTTTCATATTTGCACGCATAGCACTCAAATCTTTAATATCACATAAAAAATAGCATTATTACCATTTTTTAAACTTGAAATACACATTTTCATGCATAAGTTAAAAGCACCAGAGTTTTATGTATGTAAATATGAAAGTTTAGGTGCGAGATATGTAAATATATAAGAATTGTGTGCTATGTATGTAAATTTTTCTTAGTTTTTTAAGCTTCAAAGTATGTTAAGATTAAGAAGGCAACTTGTTTGATCTGTTGCCGATATCAATATGACGCATCTAATTTACATTAATCGTTCTTGTTACTACTGATTCGTTTGCAATTCTAATCACATCGTGGAGAATCCTTTTTGTCTGATATATTTAGTATGTTAAGTGATGTACTTGTGCTATAAGAGTATGCAGAGCATATACTTATGCACTGTTTTATAGGCTTTATAAATATATATTTATGTCATTTCAGTAGTATTATTGTAATGCACTTGCTATTGTAGTAGCACTTTCTTTCACGGTAGTTATTTCGAGCTCTAATATCATTAAGATTTGTTCATATCACCCTTGTTCTGTTAATTTCACTTGGTCTCAATACTCTAGCTTCATTCTAGAAATTTTGTTTCTAAAAAGTTATTTACGTGTCTATTGGTAACATCACTCATCTCTATTTTGGGAAAGAAATTGTCGAGGTTATCTTACATAATCACTATGTAAATGAACAAAATGGCTACATTATAGAGAAAATTATCCAAATGGTCTCTTGACTTCTTGTCAGGTTTTGTTTTAGTACCAGAGTATAAAATATCAATTTACTCCCCGGACTCTTTAAAATGGGACAAAATGGTCTTTTAGACCTTCATAGGGACTATTTTAACCCATATAAAAATAGTCTAGAATTTTTTATAAACTTTTGGACTAAAATGGCCCCATGTAAATAAATGGACTATTTTGGCACTTCACTCTTACATTATATATGTTAGATAATTTGACTTAGGGTTTGTTTGGGGCAGTTGTAGCTTATTGAATAATCTGCTCATAAACTGATTAAAAATAATCTGTTGATAAGCTAGGTGCGGCTATTACAATTTTTTATTTTTTTGGAAAAGCTAGACAACAACCAGAAAGCTGTAGAAAGCTATCACCGCACCTAAACAGGTGCGGTGTGAAAATGTTGTTTTTAGCGTTTTGAAAATGCATAAGCTGCCAAAACGCAGCTTATCCAAACAGGCAAGATGCGTTTTCAAAACACCACCGCACCAAATAAGCTGCCCCAAACGGGCCCTTAGTTTTCTTGAATCCTTCGCTCTCATGCCATTTTCATTATGCTTGATTTTTCCGACACATTTCATTACTTTGCTAATCGCAGGTATGCACCGAAACAAGATCCTTCATTATCCATCAGGTTTTATGAACGGACACCAGAGCAACAAGCAACACTAGGTTTTCTCGTTGATTCATTCGAGGAAACTGAAATTCATTCTCTGAGCAATTCCCCATCTTTTGAAAAAAAGCCTTTAGGGATTGGAGCACAAGGGCTTTCCCATGTTTCGGTTGGTGTTGTTGCTAGTCGACGTGCAATTGCTCAAGTTAATAGTGATCGAGTTGCTGAAACCTTATGTCGATACTCGGCACCGGAAGAGGTAAAAAATCATATGATATGCAGATTTTGGTTTTCTTATTGGAAGATTTACATACATACCATTTAATTCCAATGTATTTAAACATCTGACATCTATACTTCAATTTTACTATATGTTACCTTGAGGGGGTGCTTGGTAGCACAGTTTTAACAGGATTTAGGCATGGATTCAACTCAAATTCAACCAAACGCAAAAAAAAAATAAAAAATAAATAAATAACGAAAATGAAATCCAACTCTCCATTAATCTGAATTTTTTCCCATTTCATCTTCTCTACTACCGTTCCATCTGCAAATCCCAATGAGAGGCGAATTTACCAAATTTATATTACCGTTGCTTGCTACCTTCGCTCCAGTCACGAACTCGCTGGAAATCCGGATTTGATAAATCCTACTTAATGTAAATCCGATCATGCAGCCAAACACCTCTTAACTATGCATGAAAGGTGCATTTCACTTTTTAAAAGTTAAAATAGTGATATTTTTTATGTGATGTGATAAATTGGGTGGTTTAAATGTAAAAAAAAGAAGTAAAGTTTAGGTATCAAATGTGTAAATAGATGAGAATTGGGTGGTATGTATGTAAATGCCCATTTTTTGTTTCTTTGAGCATGCTTTGATATGGCTTCTATTCGCAGGTTGAAGCTTTGCCATCAACATGTGGAGCATGTGGGGCTGCATGTGTTACACACTTCTATGCCACCAGTATCCTTTCGGATTAAAATTGATAAACCTTTTTTTTTCAATGAAGTTTTATTCCTCTTTACAGTTATTGAATTAATTAGTATTTTTTTGAAAAAAATCAATTAGTATTTGAAATAAAAAAAATTTAATGATAGGTTATAGAAATTTGTAACTTAATATATTTTCATCGGCCGACACACTTCCCTAAATTATTTTGTGTTATGCATAAATGGGATCTGATATAGGACATTTTAGGATCTAAGATTTTTCAAGGTTGATTTAATATGCAATGCAAAAAGGACATAACATTTAACACAATTATATTGACTATTAAGAAAATTTAATAAAAAATAATATGAATCAAATTAAATGAAAGATCCATTGCCTATTGCTAAAAATCAATTATAAGAATTAAGGATTAAGGAAGCCACACACTTTATTAAATTTTAATGATTCATTTTAAATTTTGATTGGGGTAAATGTTGTAAATAATTTGTCTGAAAGAGATAAGAGAAAAAGAATACTATGAGAAAGAACGGTAAGAAAATATCAGCAAAGCAAATCTCAAGCTTGTCACTTCCAAAATTTTGTTATATTGGACAAATTTGTTGCGATCTTGGTAAAAACTTGAATAATTTTTTTGTGATATACAACTAAGCCAAGCGAATACACAAATACGATTGTATATAATTTTTTACGCATATTCCTGAGCCCACCTACCAATGTGGCTGTACAAGTGGTTGAGCCGAGCCCACCTGCCGAAGTGATTGAACCAAGCCCTCCAGTCAAAGTGGTTGAATCGATCCCACTTGCCGAAGTGGCTGAACTCGCCTCTTCCACCTACAGGGCAGCCTAACCTGCTTAGAGAGATGCATCTACTGGAAATGATCATCATTATCAACAAGGATGTATGTTCATCCATCTTAAAAGCGTCAATTGATATCCACATCTTGGTCTTTTCATCAACACATCATGGATTTTAGTCATTCAATACTAAAGATTTTTTTTTTTTAAAATTTTTTCTCCTTGTATAAAAGAAACGTCAAGCTAAGAGAGAGGAAGCTCTCTCTCTCGCTCTCTCTCTCCAAAAAAATCATTGTAGCTTGGAAAACCTCTGACGAGTACAATTTTCTGGCTTGCCAGAGCCTCCAGTTCAATAGATATATTTGAGATATCTTCCGGTTCTTACACCAGTCTCACTACAACATCTCAATCTTTTACGACACAACCAACTCCCACTCAGAACACTCCAGAATCATCAGACTCTTTTAAGAGTCAGATGGAACAATTAATTAAACTGCTTAAATCCAGTCAACTCTCTTTTGGCCTATCTACCTTCCATGTATGTCAATATACATTTCTATGACGCTCATCTCTTTTGTCTCTTCTAGTCCATGAATCGTTGATTTATGTGCCACAGACCACGCGATTGGTGTTCTCAAGCTTTCTCGACATTATCCATGCTCCTGGAAATATACATTTAAAATTTTTTACGGCTCCTGTAATTTCATTATTGGTAAAGGATCAATTGTAATAACAATCGTTCTAACTGTAGAATTTGTAATAAATATAGCTTTGTTAAAGTGTGACCGTTTATCTGTTAGTAAGTTGACGTATGACATTCATTGTGTTGCTCATTTTTCTCTTGATGTATGTCTTTAGGATCGTCGTTCGGGCATACTGATTGGAATTGCTAAGAGCATAGTTGGACTCTACTTCTTTAAGAGAAATGCACAAAGAACGATGATGTCTTCCAGTAGTGCAGTTTTTTAGATCCACTGAATGTCCTATTATGTTGTTATATTGTCGCTTTAGTCATCCTAGTTTTCAATATTTAAAATAATTTTATCTGTCGATCTATACTAATAAAAATCTTGCTAACTTTAAATGTGAGATTTATTAATTAGCTAAACATTATCGTGTTCCATATCCACCCTACTTCTACACACCTTATGCTTCATTTTCACTTATTTACAGTGACTTGTGACACCCTCTCACATTCCCAGTTACATTAATAAACTGTGATTTCTCATCTTAATTGAAGACCACACTCAAATGACGCAGGTTTATATCTTAAAAGATAAATCTGAAGCTATTGTCACCTTAAAAAACTTACTCCATCTTGACACAATTCATAACGTCAATTCAAGTCCTTCGAACTGACAATAACTGTGAATTATTTAATTCCATAATATATGAATTCTTAGTAAGGGCATCCTCCATAGCTCATGTACTCTTTGACAAAATGAGGTAGTCGAGAGAAAAAATCAACATCTATTCGAAGTGGCTCAGTTCATTATGTTTTAATCTAATGTTTCAAAAAAATTTTGGAATGATGTCGTGCTTACTGCCACTTATCTTATCAATAGAGTCCCTATAAAAATTCACAATCTTGATGCCATGTTTTCCTACTAATCTGTTCTTCACCACCCTTGATCCAAAATTTTCGGACACATGGTCTTTGTTTGGAACACTGCACCTACTCGTCGTAAATTTGATCTAAGGTCAGTAAAATGTGTCTTACTCAGATAGTCTGCTTATCGGTGTCTTAATCCTATCACAAATAAACTCTATGTGAGTGTCGGTGTCTCATTCTTTGAAAGCGTCCCTTACATTCCGATCACTGCCCATGTGAGTGGAAGTTAGATTTCTTGGACATTGTTCTTTATCCGACTCCTATGGATATTTTTCCAACCACTATATCCAAGGAGCACTCTGTCTCTCTGGATCCGCCACCTACCGGACAACCAAAACCTCCTCCCATCATTTGTATTTATACTCGACGCACTCGTTCTGATGTTCTTACTCTGAAACTCGCTACCTCTTTACAGGATTCAGAATCTACTACGGGCTTCATCCCCAGCACTAACCATACTCCGGATGAGAATGTGAGGTTTATGATCAGGCAAGCTTTCTTTATTCTATAGCAAAATATCTCTTTCCTCAAAGCATTTACTACCGCCCTGACGGATCATCACCTCTCATCCACTATTGAGGCAACATTAGCATAACACTCTTGGAGAGCTGCAGTTATGGATGAGATGAATGCTCTTCAGCGACATCATATGAGGGATGTTGTGGATCTTTCTCCAGGTAAGAAAGCAGTGGGGTGCCACTAGATTTTTAGCACCAAGTTGAACTCCCTTGAATTCTTTGAACGCAACAAGGCACGGTTGGTCGTCAAATATTGCTCACAAACATACAAAGTTGATTATGAGGGGACATTTTTCACGGTTGCTAAATTGAACATCATTCGAGTCCTTTTATCCATTGCTGTGAATTTGGATTGGCTCTTGCTTCAACTTGATGTCAAGAATGTCAAGAATGCTTTCCTATACTTATCATTTATGTCGACGATATTGTACTCACAGATGATCTTCCAACATTAGAGTCTCTAAAAGGCATTATTGCTACTTCATTTGAATTGAAGGAGTTGGGTCACTCCGGTACTTCTTAGACATGGAATTTGCTCGGTCATCTCGGTGTGTTTGCCTGTATCAACGCAAGTTTATGCTTGATCTGTTAACAGAAAATAACTTTCTCCTTTGCAAGCTTGTGACGGTCCTAATGGATCCCAATGAAAAGTTAGTTGATGTTTCCAATGCAGTTCCGGTGAACAAGACTCACTACCAACATCTTATTGGAAAACTCATTTACTTCGTTGAGTCAATTCATGCATGATCCCTATGAGCAGCATCTCTGTGCTGCCCACAGGATCCTTCACTATTTAAAAGACACACAGGGCTCAAGTTTGTATTTCCTGCGTCACACCTCTCGTTTTATTGTTATTTATACAAATGCGGAATATTGCTCATCATTTATGTCTCGGAGCAATATTGCTCCTTAGGTCCGTCCATGATCTACAATACACCTCAGAATATTGCTCATTCATATGAGGAAATCTTGTCATCATTTATGTCTCGGAGCACTGCTGAAGCTGTGCTTCACTCCATGTACTTAAGTATCTGTGAAACTCTCTAGTTACTCATAATGCTCTGTGAATTACGAATGCTGGTCTCTACTCATCTCCAGCTGTGCCGTGATAATAAAGCCGTCATTAGCATTGCTCGTAATCCAGTTCAGCATGATAGCACCAAACATATAGAGATTGACAAACACTTCTTTATGTTGAAGCTCAATTCAGGGGAGATATGCATTCCATTTGTCCAATTCAATGATCAATCAGCAGATATCCTTACCCAAAATCTTCCTCAGCCATTGTTTGACGACTTCAAATCTAACTTGAAAATGATGGACATCTATGCTTCAACTTTAGATAAAGTATTAGAATTATTGCCCAACTATAGGCTATTTACTGCTGGAGTTATTATTAGTATTTATTTACTTCCTTTATTTTCCATTTCATATTTATGTCTTTTCTTTTATTTGGGTATTATAATATATCAACAATATATATTGCAATATTTGCACTTTCTGGTTTTTTGAAGTATATAAAAAACTATATAAAAAAAGGAAACTATGTACCGCCTTATTCAGATTATTAAATTATTTTACCATCTTCAGTATTTACTTTTTAGTTTCTTACCGTCTATGTTTAGTCCCACGTCTTTAAACCATATTTTACATCTGCAAGGCAGTGTCCTAAAAGAAACTTTCTAGACAACACATGTGCTTGGGTGGATTTCTAGACAACACATGTGCTTGGGTGGATATTCTTTAAACTTTAAAGTCATTTAAAACATAATATGAATTTTAACTCAGTAAGATTGTGTTACTTTATTAAAGTTCAATAAATAATCATTTATCTAGATCATTAACTGCAGAAACGATTCTTTATTACATTCTGACTAGACCAGCTACCGGTTCACGACCGAACCGGTTGATTTGGCCAGTCTGGTCTGATTTTCTCGACCTTACCAATTCCTATGTATTTACATATCTAATACCGAAAATTTGATTTTTACATTTCTACCACTCAATTCTTTTATATCACATTAAATAGACCATTATAATACCCTTTAAAGAGTGAAATATATAAAAATCAGAGTTTAGATGTTAGATATGTAAGTACATAGCAAGCTAAGGCTTTCATAACTGACCTTTCATTTTGTTTAATCTAATGAAGCTCTCATGCGTTTAATATCTAGATAATGACAAATTAAGCCAATCTAAAACTACTAATTAAAATTTTCTTTTGCAATATGATCCTAAGGTTTCCTACCTAATTGTTCGTGTTTTTGATAACCTTTTTGCAAGTTAGTTTTCTTCATTTTCGGCTTCACCATTTTGATTAAACACACCTGTAGATATTTTCTATATTCAAAGTATACTATACCACACCATACCATAATGTGTGCACTTTTTTTATTCTTGTCAGTTTTCTTGGGCCATTTGCGTAAATACCACTTAGTTCTAATGTATTCACATATCTAGCACTTATACTTCACTTTTTTACATTTATACCACACAAATCTTTCATTTCACATCAAAAAATACTACCATTTTAACTTTTTGAAAGTGAAATGCATCTTTTCATGCATAGAAAATGTGATATACGCACAAAAATTAAAGTTTAGGTTTTACATTTAAATACATAACAATTGAGTGGTATGTATGTAAATCTGCCATTTTTTTCATTTAAGGTGATGAGATTGCTTTGCTTTCATTCTTATGCTATTGCTGCCATGTCCATTTTCATCCAATGCACTCGATGTGTTCGGATGATGAAGCTTCCCTAAGCACCAACTTCTCCCTCTTCTCTTCTCCCCTTTCTCCGCAGCCCAACCACTGTATCTTTAAAGTTGTCATTGTTTCTTCCTTGGGGGTGTTTTGTGGCAATACCGTTTTTGGGGTTATTTTTTTTCATTAATTTTGGATATGATTGATTTGTACATTAGAGTGCTTTCGGTTTCTCTTGCTCAGGCATATTGTCTTATTTTTTGGTTATCGCAATTCATTAAATAATTATTGGAAAATTTACATGATTTCCACACAATTCTTTTGAATTTACATGTCTAACACCTAAAGTCTGATATTTAAATTTATACCACATTGGTGCTATAAATTTATGCATAAAAAGGTGTATGGCCTTTTAAAAGATTAGTTAAAGTGGTGTGTTTGATGTGATCTTAAAGATTTGAGTGTTTTGAATGTAAATATTAAAGTTTAGTTAGATATGTAAATACATACGAATTGTATGATATGTATGTAAATGCCCCATAATTTTTTTTGTTAAATCATTCTTATCCATAAATTTTAATAGTTGAGCTTTGCTGAAATACTTGATACTTTTTTCCTCTTCATAATTGAACTTTATTTGCCTTGACCAGTCTTAGAAATTCCATATTTTCAGGAAGTGATTGTCATGGCAAGTAGTTGTGATTTATGCGGTTATCGCAGCTCTGAGGTTTGCTATACCATCACTTATTCAATTCTTCTTTGCACTATGGTTGAGTTGTAATTCAGTGCGCTATTTTGTTTTTATTTTCTGCATAGTTAAAGCCAGGCGGCGAAATTCCGAAAAAAGGAAAGAGGATAACTGTAAATGTGCAAAATATAAAAGACCTCAGTAGAGATGTGATAAAGGTTGGCCTTCTTCCATTTATTGATTTGGATTTATATTTTTTAAGCCATTTCTGGGACGAACAGTTTTGGAGCTTGAATGGTTTCATGACATCTCCCTAAGAACACACTCTTACTAATTGGGGCATTTACATGTGTACCACCCAATTTTTCTGTATTTACATATCTAACACATTAACTTTGCTTTTTTACATTTATACCACACACAAATCTTTCGTATCACATCAAAAGTACCATTATTATAACTTTTAAAGTGTGAAAGGTACATTTTCATGTGTAAGGCGACGTATATACCAAATGTGAAGTGTAGCTATTAATATTTAAATACATAAGAATTGAGTGGTATGTATCTAAATCTTTCTTATTATTTTGTTCATTGGTGTTTATAAAATTGCAAATTATTTTGTACATAATTGAAGGACTTGGGGTAGTTTTTAATTAGGCGGCAGCAATAGTGTATGCGATTCTACCATCGATTTGGACGGATCTTGGTATTACCAATTTTACCTTTCTTATTTTAATCAATATTCTTCCTTTTACATGTCATCATAGTTTTCATAAGAGAGAGAGAGAGAGAGAGGGAGAGAGGCATTTACATACATTCTTATGTATTGACATATCTAACACGTAAATATTTGTATGTACATAGCACTCAAAGCTTTATAACAAATGAAAATACGGCTACTACTTTTTAAAAGTGAAAGACACATTTTTATGCATAAGTTTATGACTCCAAAGCGTTGTAAATGTAAAATATGGAAGTTTAGTTGTTAGATATATAAACCCATAAGAATTGTATGGAATATATGTAAATTTCCCTGACATTTGTATGCATTTTTTTACTTGGATTAATCTTTTAATCTTAAATATAAGAACAGTTTAAAACTTCTAAATTAAAGAAATGTGATTGTTTGGGAATAAATTAACCATATACAAATAGTCTGACTTTTTTTAAAATTTAATAATATTTATCTGTTTAGTAAGAGCTCACTTGTTTTGAAACCAATTCATGTGTTTGTCGGAGCTGCTTCGACTTTCATTTTTATTCACACTAACATTAAATCTTTATTATTTTATTACTATTATTTTTAATTCATCATTCACTTTAACTGTTATTTTTCTATTGTTGCCAAAGGAAAAAAAAAAACAATGTAAAATTGAAGGTGAATCTTAGCCCTTAAGTTTGAAACTAACTTTATACTTTTTTGGAAATTATTTGAGGGATGGGGTGCATTTACAAACATAGCATACAATTATTTTGTATTTACATATCTCACACTTATACTTTCATATTTACACACATAGGACTAACATCATATAAAATCTAACACTACCATCAATTTCTAAAACAGTGAAATCCACCTTTTTATGCATATAGGTTTAAAGAACTCAAGTGCTATGCATGTAAATATGAAAGTTTAAGTGTGAGATATGTAAATACATCATAACTGTGTGCTACATATGTAAATTTCCCCAAAAAAACCTAAACTCACTTATGGAAGCGAGATTTGATCATTTTTAGACACATACTGTGTGTGTGAGTGTGTGTTTTCTTGTGTATTTTATGACATGTGCTTCATTTTATAACTCTGCATGGTGATTTCTCTTGTGACTAATTTATATAATTAATATTTATATTGTTCGTATGTATTTTCTCTGCATGTTTCAGTCAGATACTGCATCTGTGAAAGTACCGGAGGTCGAGTTGGAGCTCGAAAGTGGTACATTAGGCGGACTCGTTACCACCGTTGAAGGTTTAGTTACTAAAATTAGTGAAAGTAAGAGAACTATTTGAACTTATTGATTTGTTTGTTTTTGTTCGAATATTAGTTAATTGATCGTGATAGATTATTGGAAGATTTGCATACATACCACTCCATTCTTGTGTATATACATTTCTAAAACCCAAACGTGATAGATTATTCCATTCTAGATTATTGGAAGATTTGCACACACACACACACACACACACACAGATATATATATATA